GAGTGGGGGGGGGTCACAGGCCTGGGAGGGCCCCTGGCCTCGTTGCAGCGGCAGTGGGGACTGTCTTGCACCCAGCCAGACCCACGTTTGCTGGCCGACTATTGAATGGACCATGTGCCAACTCTTCATCTGCTGGGGGACGCCTTTGACGTCGGCGCTTGTCAGCCTGTCCTGCCTCCTCTTGGCCAGTCTCTTAGTTCCTCTGCCCGTCCTTCCAGCTCTGTCAGCCTGCCTGTATCAGCCGGCCCTTCAGTTTGTCAGTCACCCCTGCACTTCATTCTTTTTAATCTGTGCCTGTCTTGCACTCCTGCTCAGGGAGAGAAGGACTTGGTGATTGGCTCTACTGAGGATTCTTGTGAAATATTGTGGAGTCGGGTATGACCCACAGCGACCCCGTGAAGGACAGATCTGAGCCCTGTCCTGTCGTGTACCGTCCTCACTATCTCTGTCACCCCTGAACCTGAGTCAGTGTGTCAACCCACCTGGTTAAGGTTATTCCTCTCTTTCCCCACCCCTCCAAGCATGATGTCCCTCTCCAAAAAATAGCCTCCCCTAGCAGTGTGCTCGAGTATGTGAGATGAAGCCAACGGAGATTACAGCCGATACAACCCTGTGAACGCTCTTCAGGCCTGGACTGGAGGGCACCCTGCAACTCAGGTTTCAGCCTAAGCATAGACAGTCCTAGGAAGTGAACAGTAACAGCAGTGAGGGCACCCTTCCTAGAGCAGTGTAGCATCTGAAGTCAGAAGGGCACTAGATGCCTGGGGACAGAGCTCAGAAGACAGAACAGAGCTCAGAAGAAAACAGGACCAGTGGAAACAGGAATCCCAGGGAGGGAGTGGGAAGAGTGCTGTTACATGCTGGGGACCACAGTCAACCTCACACTAAATGGGATGGGTTGTTAAATGGGAAACCATTTTGCTTAGGAAACTGTCACTCAAATCACAAGAAACAAAAACCTACAAAACACCCAAAAGATTACAGCTAATATAACCCAATGGGGCAGCTCCATCACAAGGGGCTACTGAATCATAATCAACTCTATGGTAGCTGACACCTGGGGGCGTGAGTGGAAGGTGCCACTGCCATCTGGTGGGAGGAGGTCGGGGATGCAACTCTCCTGCAATGCCCAGGAGAACCTCACCGCACACGTTGCCGCACACATTTAAATTGACAGCTGTGCTTAGATGCACATTTTGCCGTCATTTGCGGCAACGTGTTAACCCAGCGCACTGAGTGGCTGCAGCTTAGAATTTGTGTCCTTGCAGCCAAGGAGCACCCTGGGTGCATTTCCTCCAAGATAAATATGTTGGTTCTTTTAGCAGTTCCTTGGGCTAGTCAGTATTCTTCGCCAACATTTTAATTCAAAGGCATCAATACTTCCTTGGTCATCCTTATTTACTGTCCACCTTTCGGATGCATAGGTAGCAATTGAAAATGCCTTGGCATGTAGCTATTATTTTTTTCTTTTATCATTTGTGTGTACCATCAAACCAGATCTGACTGGTAGAGGAAGAGATTTGTCCTTCCTTCTCTAGCAGAGCATCTGGTGGATTTGAACTATTATTGTTATTTTTTTAAATTTTAAATGTGTTTTTATTTGTAAGACATTATTTATTAAGAAATCAGGTATACTGTTCTAATATGATGGTGAAAGTATTATTTTTTTTTAAAATTTTATTATTTTGTGTGTGTGTACCGTCAAATCAGATCTGACTGGTACAGGAGGAGATTGCCCCTCCTCCTCCAGCAGAGCACCTGGTGGATTCAAACTATTATTATTTTTTTAAAAAATTTTAAATGTGTTTTTATTTGTAAGACATTATTTATTAAAAAATCAGGTATACTGTTCTAATCTGCTGGTGAAAGTATTTTTTTAAAAATTTTGTTATTTTTGTGTGTGTACTGTCAAATAGGATTTGACTGGTACAGGAAACTGGCCCTCTTTCTCCAGCAGAGCATCTGGTGGATTCAAACTGTGCACCTCTTAGATTGCAGTGCAGTTTCTTGCCACGAGGCCATCAGAGCTGCCTAAAATTTTTTTTTTAAATTGGTTTTTCTTCATCCAGGTCACTTCCTTTTGACGAACCTTCTGCTGGAAAAACTGAAGGCCTCAGCCCCTTCTCGGATCATCAACCTCTCGTCCTTGGCCCACATTGCCGGCCACATAGACTTCGAGGACCTGAACTGGGAGAAGAGGAAGTATGACACCAAGGCAGCGTACTGCCAGAGCAAGCTGGCCATTGTCCTTTTTACAAAGGAGCTGAGCCGGCGGCTGCACGGTACGTGGGCGGGGAGCCCCTCTGCTTCCCTGGACTAAGTAGTCCAACGCTGCTGTAACAGGACTGTGGAAACAGAAGCTGTGTTCTTTCACAGTTAGGGATCTGAAAGTCCGAACTCAGGGCCACAGCTCTGGGGGAAGGCTGGCTCTCCACTGGCTGTAGAGAAAGGTTCTTGTATCCTTGCCGTGGGTGCAGCATTCTGAGGGAATTCCAGCATTCCTCTATGTGAATTGGTGTCAGAGTTCCCCTGGGTCTAGGAGGTACCTATCACAGGGATCTTGGCCACGAGGATGCACTCCGCCCTTCACTCCTCTTTGCTAATGCTAATAGGTTTCCCTTTCTGTGTGTGCTCCTTCGTCCTTCTCTCCCTTATAAACTAGAAGGTGTTGCAGGACATGACTCAGGAAAACTCCCCTTTCCTCAGACCAGGTGGTCTTAGTAAGGGCATTGCACCCCAATATCCAAAGTTCTAAAGAGCAAGGATGTCAGTTTAAAGACTAAGGTGCACCAGAGTCAAGCTATGGTGATTTCAGTTGCTTTTTGTGTGTCTTGACAACTGGACAGTGAGTAAAGGTGACAGAAGAAGAATCGATGCCTTTGCGTTGTGGTGTTGGAGGACTGAATATCCCGTGGACTGCCGAAAGAACAAACAGATAGGTCTTGGAGGAAGTGCAACCTGAGTGCTCCGTAGAGGCAAGGATGATGAAATTTCCTCTCCTATGCTTGGGGCATGTTGTTAGGAGAGACATGCTGGGAACGATAGAAGGCCAATCAAAGAGAGGAAATCCTCAAAATTAAAAAAAAAAAATAAAGGAAGACCGTCAATAAGATGGATTATGGATTGACGGTGACTGAACATGGGGCCACAGTGTCTTGGAGGTGGTGAGGACGACACTGGACAGGACAGTGATCAGATCTGTTGTTCACATGGTCGCTATCGGTCGTAGTCGACTTGATGGCACCCAACAACAACAACAACAACGTCCCACCCTTAATATTCCCACAGCTGATTGGCTTATCAGGTCATGGGGAGACCACTTCCCTGCCTTGTTAAGTCATTCAGTCCAACACACAGAGAATCGTGGCCCAACCAAGTTAACTCACACTTTAGGGGGCCCAATCCAATCCATGACCCAGCAGTGAAGTGTTAACGTGGTAGGTGAGGTCTGGACTTGGGTCTAGAGAAACAGCATCATTCAGGTGGGGCCAGAGTTCAGCCTTCCGGGTCAAGGGTGGGCCTGCCATCTCTCTGCCCAGCCTCACTCTGCTTCTCTGCCCGGGGGCTGGTGTGACAGCCAAACATGCTGCAGCCGGTGTGGCCAGAACGCAGCTGGGTAGACACGGGCCTGCTGTCTCTCCTCCTATCCTCACTCTCTGCTTCTCTGTCCAGGTACCGGTGTGACGGCCAACGCGCTTCACCCTGGCGTGGCCAGGACGCAGCTGGGCAGACACACGGGCATGCACAACTCCGCCTTCTCCAGCTTCACGCTTGGTGAGTCCCGTCCTTGCCCACCGGCCCTCTCGGCTGACTCCCCACTCCTCTCTCCGGCCTGAGCATCAGGACCTCCTGTAGACTCTGTCCCCTCTCGAGGGCCTTCACTCCTGCCCTTTCTTCTGGGTCTCCTGGGGGCAGGGGAGAGGCAAGTCATCTTTCTGTGTTTCTTTAAATCTCTTGTACCAAAATGAGAGGACTATGAGATAGACGGAGCGCTGGTGTCCCTATCCACGGGGGCCACACACGCTGGTTGACTTGATGGATGACCGAGATGCTCTGTGTAGATACCAGACCTTTCTGCTCTCTGAGTCCGACCCATAGCTGACCTTCCAGCGGGTTTTCAGAGACAGTTAATCTCACAGGAGGAGATTGCCCATCCTTCTCCTGTGGAACGGCTGGTGGATTCCAACCGTGTGACTTTGGGATTGCAGTGCAGCTTCTTGCCACTAGGCCACCAGTGCTAGAGAGAGAGAGAGAAAGAGGGAGGGAGGGAGAGAGAGAGAGAGGGAGAGAGAGAGAAAGAGAGAGAGAGAGGGGTAGGTGGAAAGCTGGCTCAGGATGCAGACAAAAAAAAATAAGTGTTCATAGTGGACACTGTTTGCTGCAATGTGGGTATGGGGTGATTCCTAGCCCCCCTGAGCCCCTGAGGGAGGGGAGGGCCTCTTCCAGGAACGTGTGCACAGTGTACGCCTTCTGGACCGATTACAGGGCCCATCTTCTGGCTTCTGGTCAAGACCCCCCAACTGGCCGCCCAGCCCAGCACCTACCTGGCCGTAGCCAAGGAATTGGAAGGCGTCTCTGGAAAATACTTCAGCGGACTCAAAGAGAAGGCCCCGGCCCCGGAGGCCGAGGATGAGGAGGTGGCCCGGAGGCTGTGGGCTGAAAGTGCGCGCCTGGTGGGCCTGGACACATCCCGGGACGGTCACCCTCTCCCCAAATAACCCGAGAGTCTGCAGACTGGATGTGGCCGCCATCCCCGCAGCGCCCTCCGGGTGGCAGTGTGGCACCGTGTCACCGCCCCACTGACCACAGCAGCTGGAGGGGCACGGTGGCAGGTGGGCACCTCTGAAACCCAGCAGAGGGTCAGCTGGCAGTCAGCTCCCACTGGACGGCACTGAGACAGCCGGCCGGCCTGCAGGTGGGCACCGGGCTGGCCCAGAACAAGCTGGACCGGAATGGCCGAGTGAGGGGTGACCTCTGAGTGGTCATCTGTGATTTCACGTTGAGTGAGGCATATGTCGTGTCTTCCTCTCCTACAGTCCTCTGTCAGAGTCTTCTTTTTTAAATTAAAGGAAAAATGAAAAAAAAAGAAGTGATTTGGGTGAAAATTTACAAAGCAAAAATATGGTTTCCATTCAACAGTATGTACACATTTTGTGACAAGACACTTGGTTACAGTCCCACCGGATTGACAGCAGCCTTCCCGCCTCACCCTTCTGTGTTGTGTTTTTTTTTTTCTTTTAAAATCTAATTTTTATTATTATTTGTGTGTGTGTGTGTATACTGTCAAATCGGATCTGACTGGTACAGGAAGAGATTGTCCCTCCTTCTCCAGCAGAGCATCTGGTGGATTCGAACTGTGCACCTCTGGGATTGCAGTGCAGCTTCTTGCCACTAGGCCACCAGAGCTCCCTTTTTTTCCTTTCTTTTTAATTTTAATTTTATATTGCTTTGCATACAATCTCATATATATCTTTTTCATATTGTGCTTTTTATAATTATTTCCATTCATTGTTTTAGAAAATTAATCACCACTGAACTATGCCCACCATTAATCACCCCGTCTTTCCTCATCCCTGCTGGATCGTTCCCATTTACTTTACCCCCTCTTTTTGCCCACAAAATTCTGCAACCTTATAATTTCCCCCCCGCTCATCTTCACCCCTTTGCTTTCACCCCTTCTCCTCTTGGTCCCCATACATGTTTTAGTAGTTATCCTTCTATTTTTACAATAATGGTCTTGTGCAGTATTTGTCCTTATAAGACTGAGTTAGTTCACCCAGCATAATGCTCTCCAGTCCTTCTCAAGTTATGTAGTAGTTTTTGAAATTATTGCTACTGCCACCCTTTTGTTTTTTATTTCCATTCATCCTTTAAAAAAGAATTTTTCTTTTGAGTGAAGTTTTAAAAATCTTTTAATCTTCCAGGCACTCACTCAAGGACTTTTTGATTTATACCATTTATTACCATTGATGAATCTGGTTAATTTATGACAGTGTCTAATCAACCTCTGATGGGATGTTGCCTTTCCCTTCACTCAACTTTTTCCTCATCTTTTTAACTGTTTATTAATTTTTACTCAACTCTCTGTCTCTTCCTCTTGCCCCTTCCTGCCCCTCTGACTTCTGGGCCCAGGCCGCTGCTGCCTTCTTGATAATCTTGTCTGTTTGCTTGTACAGAGGGGTGAACGCCTCCTTGCTGTTAACTGGTCACTTTGTATGTCCATCTGCGATTTGGCTATAAGTTAAGCTGTGGGGTGAGTTCAGCTCAAGGGTGGACCAAGGGTCATAGTGTAAACTGTCTCGAACGCCACCCCTCCTTGGTGTTGGGGTGCTGGGTGATATACTGATGGAGGTAACTGTTCAGAGCATGGGGAAGGCATGTGACAGCTCCTGGGGGGGGGGTCTCGCACACACCCAGCCCTCCCTCTGAGCCTGTTTTATCAGCTATCTAGCGGGCATAGTCAAGTTCCTGCTGTGATGGGGCAGTGAGGTGACCGGCGGCTATATGACTTTGGCCGATGACAGTTTACGGAGTTTTCTGTGTGTGTGTATGATGAGGTGGGTGCTGGGGGTGGCACGGGGCACAGCTGACCCAGCCCCTGGCCTTGTCCAGAGGGGTCCTACACCCCACCCCTGAAGACCCAGGACTGCTCACCCCCCACTCTGGCAATTCAGATGAGTTTAGACTCTCAAACTCACTCTCTCTCTCTTTTTCAAAGAATTAATTTTTAAAAAAAAATTTATTTTATTTCATTATTTTTTTGTGTGTACCGTCAAATCAGATCTGACTGATATAGGAGGAGATTGTTCCTCCTTCTCCAGCAGAGCATCTGGTGGATTTGAACCGTGTACCTCTGAGATTGCAGTGCAGCTTCTTGCCACTAGGCCACCAGAGCTCGCCAAAATAAATTAATTTTAATGAACGTTTACAGAGACTTAGTGTTTCCATTCACTCATTGTTGCACTTTCCTCCCTATCCACCCCTCCCCCCTAGTTCCCTCTTCTCCTTGAAAAGTAAAAGAAAAAGTCTTTCATTGTTACACAATCCCTCCCCCCAAGTCCACTCCACTGTGCAGCCTTCACTCTGGACTCCTGTCATGACAGTAATACCTAATCATATATCCTTTTTAAACAGTTTTCTCCCTCATCTGTTTCAATGCAGTATACATCATTCCTCCCCTCCTTCTCTGTCTTCCCTCAACCCCAATGCCAGTCTTGTTTTACAGCAGTGGCATGCAGTATTTGTCCTTTTGTGACTGAGATACTTCATTCAGCATAATGTCCTCCAAGGTCTCACCCATTTTGTATACTATTTCATGAGTTTCTTGTTTTTCAGTGCAGCGTGATATTCCATTGTGTGAATATACCACAGCTTCTCTATCCATTTGTTTGTTGATGGGCACTTGGGTTGTTTCCAGCTCTTTGCTATTGTGAACAAAGCTGCAATCAACATGGGTGCAAACTCACTCTCTTAAAATAATTGTGGTAAAATAAATGCACAGGCATATGTCGGAGGTACCCCAGTCCTAGACCACCAGCACGAAGCAGACATGGCAAGGATTTTGTGGCCGTCTCAGGACCATGCACGGTTCGCTCTGTTGTGCAGAGGGTCACTCTGAGAGGGATCAGATGAGGTGACCCCAAGTGGCAGCGACAAACGGCTACTCACCCATGGGGCTGCGGGCGGGTTTGAACTGCCAGCTTTTTTTTTTTTTTTAAATAATTTTAATGAACATTTACAGAGAATTTGGATTTCCATTCATTCATTGCTGCACTTCTCTACCTGCCCAGCCCTCTCTCCCTGCCCCCCCAGTTCGCTCCTCTCTTTGGAAAGTAAAAGAAAGACTCCCTCCCTGGTACACAATCCCCCCACACACCCCTCCCACCACCCCAAGTATATTCCACTATGCAACCTTAATTGTGGACTTTTGTGATAACCATAATACCCTACCATACATCGCTTTTAAATTATTCACTCCCTCATCTGTTTCAGTGCAGTATACATAATTTATCCAGTTTTTCTCAGTCTTACCCCCACCCTGATATTTAGTCCCATTTTACAGCAGTGGCACCATGCAATATTTGTCCTTTTGCTACTGAGGTATTTCACCCAGCATAATGTCCTCCAGGGTCACCCATTTTGAATAATACTGCATGAGTTCCTTGTTTTTCAATGCAGCATAGTATTCCATTGTGTGAATATACCAGAGCTTCTCTATCCATTCGTTTGTTGATGGGCACCTGGGTTGTTTCCAACTCCTTGCTATTGTGAACAGAGCTGCGATAAACATGGGTGTGCATAGATCTGTCTGGATGTTTTTTATGGTCTCTTTGGGGTATATTCCCAGTAGTAGAATTGCTGGGTCAAATGGTTTCTCTATTTGCAACTTTTTGAGAAAGCACCACACCGCCTTCCACAGTGGTTGCACCAGAACGGCCACCTTTTTGACTAACAGCCGAGCCCTTAACCAGTGAGCTCCCAGCTCTCCTTGTTGGACTTCACAGCGACAGCAGAGAATTAGTCCTTGTCCTGATGGGGCTGTCCTTCCCCCCACCCAGTGCACCCCGTGCTCAGCGTCCCCCCTCTCTGATGTTACGGGCTTGGTTCAGCAAGGTCAGATATGAGTGTGGTGTCCAATCTGGCAGAACAATCTGGAAAGTTGTAGAAAGTTCCCCCGGAAAGGGGTCAAGTGAACTCACCAGAGATGAGTTCTGCGTTTGGAGAAGCAGACAGCAGAAGTGGTTCTTGGTTGGAAGCCAGTTTGTTATTTCTCAGTCCGCGAACCCGGAACAGGAATCTGTGGTCAGCGATGAGCTTTCGAAGATGCTGTGGGAACAGATTCTTCGATAGCAGCTCAGGTGGAGGTCAGGGGGGAAGGGAGAGCAGAGTGGCCAGGGGCCCCTATGGGGCTGTTCCTGAATTGGAAACAGCTTCCTGTGATTCAAGTGGAAGTGGACGGAGCAGATCCACTCAACAGTTCATACCTATTTTGTTTCTTGACACAAAGGAACAGCTCTTTGCCCTCTGCCACCTTTCCCCTTCTCCAATCCCCCTGCCTGTCCCTTCTGAGGGACAAACGTTTCCCTTTCCATCTCACGTTGGTTGCCTGTCCTAAGGAGTGTGTCCCCTCTGGTGTTTCCGATCCCTTTATGACCTGTCTGCTGTTGTCTGGAGCAAGGAGAACAGGTACAACCCTGATGCACACCTTTTCCTGATTTTTGAAGTCATTGCAGTGTTCCTTGTTCCGTTCACACGACCGCTGCTGGGTCTCTGCCTTGGTTTTGACAGTGTAGGATTCAGTGTCCTGGATTCCCATCCTCCATCTGACCCCCAGCTTGTCACGGTCCACACGCTGTCAAATGCCAAGGGATCAAACCAGTCTGTCTTGGAGGAAGAACAGCCAAGGTGCTTCTTAGAAACAAGGGCGTGGTGGTGGGTGAGACCTGTGTATTTTGGAATGTTGTCAGGAGGGGTGTCAGGCCTTGAAGAAAGAAGTCGTGCTGGGAAAGGCGGAGGGTCAGAAAGAGAGGAAGACTTTCAAGGGGTTAGATTGGCCCCATGACTGTAACAAGAAGCCCTAGCATATCAGACTAGGAGGGTGGTGCAGACTGGGAAACTCAGGTCTGTGTTGTTGTGTCACTAGGAGATGCAGCTCCATGGAAAACAACAACAACACCAGCAACAACATTGTGGGCTGGAATTTGAGTCATGTGAGTGA